ATATCTAAAATAACCGGATTATGATCTGACCAGGTAGTAGCTGTTATAAAAACCTTTTTAATTTGACTTACTAAGTTTCTGTCCCCCAGAATCAGATCAATTCTAGAATATGAGCAGAAGGTTTTGGAGAAGCAAGAGAAATCTTTTTCTTTCGTGTGGAATATTCTCCAATGATACAGTAACTCAGCTTGTTTGATCAGTTCTGAAAATTTTTGGCATTCACCTTCAATTTTTTATAATTACTGCCTTTTGTTTTAGAGCTCCTATCAAGCTCTACATCGAAAACACAGTTGAAGTCTCCCATAACGATAGCTTGGCCCATTTTAACACGTTCAATTTTATTAAGCACTTTTTTTAATAAATGTAATTTGTGAATGATTTGGCGCGTATATATTAACTAACGTATATTTTTGGTTATTAATTTCTGCTACCAAAATAATATCTGCCTTCTATATCTAATTCCTGATGTAAAATTTTTAAGGAAATACTTCTCGAGGGAAAAAAAAAGGCTACTCCTCTTTTCTTTTTTTGACTCATAGAGGCGCTAATTATAGTAGGGAAAAACTTAGATTTAAGATTGTTTGTTTTTTTTCTTGTACTTGCCAGTGGGTTTCTTGAAGAGCTGCTATCTGAATTTGTTCCTTTTTTAAAAAATTCAAGGATTGTATATCTTTTAAATTGTGAATTAATCCCCTGTGCATTAATCGTTGCTAATCTCATATTATTTTATAAATCCTATTTCCTTTAATTGGAGGACTAAGAGGTTCACCATCATAACTAACAAACATTTAAGACATCACAAAATTGTACATATTCTGCCTTTTCTTAGGCCTAGACCTATGTATCTACTCCCTCCCTTGTCTTTCTCCCTTCCTGGATCTCACGTTGCCTCCATGGGGGGTGTCCAGACAAAAATAGCGAGAGGAAAAAAACCAAATGTATAAGGAAAGAGAAAAAAAATATATATAGTGTGATACCATTATTTATTTATATATATATATATATATATATATATATATATATATATATATATGTGTAACAAGGTGAATATTAAAATCCCACTCACAAGTGGAGAGCAGACCAGCCTGCTCTAACTATCAGCGTGTGCGTCAGCAAGGGAACAAGAATGCAGCAGCAAGTGACTTTCCAAAATCTTTATTGTGGAATATCTCCATAAAATCACTTTTCCGTTTCATCTTCCGTCTGGACCTCCTTCCCTGTGTCTGGATATAGCTCCTCAGCTCACTGCCGCTAAGCAAGAGATGGGTTGCACGGAGTACCAAACACAAACCGATCTGTGGCAAAACGCGTCATCACGCAGCATCACAGTGAACGTCAAGGATGAAGCTCCGCCCACAAGGAAGTGTTTGGTACTCCGTGCAACCCATCTCTTGCTTAGCCGGCAGCGAGCTGAGGAGCTATATCCAGACACAGGGAAGGAGGTCCAGACGGAAGGTGAAAGGGGAAAGAAGGGATTTTATGGAGATATTCCACAATAAAGATTTTGGAAAGTCACTTGGTGCTGCATTCTTGTTCCCTTGCTGACACACACGCTGATAGTTAGAGCAGGCTGGTCTGCTCTCCACTTATTCACCTTGTTACGGTATCACACTATATATCTTTTTTTTTCTCTTTCCTTATACATTTCTGTGGAAGAGATACAGCTATATGCATTGAAAATTGAACCTATGTAAGTGGTTTTGTATCACTATAAAACTAAAACACCATAGAAATTTTTGTATTTGCACTTTTTCTTGTTGGATTGAACATAATTGCTATTTTGCACAAAATTGGTCAATTGGGATTATATTCCACACCCATGCAATAATTAATTGGCACTTAAATATTTGAGTTTATATTTAAAGACACAGCGCACCTTTTTTTTCTTTTTTTGTAAAACTGTAGCCCACCAAAACATAAAGAGGCAAGAGAAGCGCTATCAGAGGGGGACAGCCAGGTCTCTGTAAGTGCAAGTAGTGTGAGTGAGTTTGAGATGAAAAAGTCGTGTATTGCTGTTGATTTTAAATTACTGCAGATGGAGCGGGCATTCCAGAGTGCACACTAAATGTTGGTAAGTGATGAGGTTTGTTGGGTTTCTGGTTTTCTTAGTGTGTGTAGAGAAGGTGAATGGCCCTGGATTTTGGAGAGACATCACCAGCTGCTAAAAGCAGGAGGAGAGAAAGTGACAGGAGCTGTGAATGGGTTTTGTATGCATGGGGTCTAGGATGAGATAGATTGTGGGTAGGAGTGAGAGAGTAGAAAAATGAGCGCAAGGCATGAGATGAGAGAAGGGGGGAGTGTAGCAGTGAGGGGGATGAGTGAAGTGGGTGTAAGGAGACATTTTTATACTGATTGAGAAGGAGGAAATAAAGAGGAGGAGAAGACAGATCATTGCTAAACTGTGAAAAAGTAAATTGGAAAAAATTGGAATATCAAGAGCAGATGAAGGTAGGGTAAATATTAAGCTTTATGGGTTAAGAAAGGGCAGGAGTGTTCTAATAAGAGGCACTGTTATTTTTACTTATTTAAAATGTGGGTGTGACAGACAATCTATGTAATAATGAGGATGGGGTGGGGAATGGAGGGCGGCTATCAGACTTTCTTACAGCAGTATTGGGGTTTCAAAGTTTGGAAATCAGGCTGTTGAATAAAGGGTCAGATAGGCTTGCACTAAAGCTGAGGCAGGGGATATGTATCTAGGCCAGGGCCGCCATCAGGGGGTGACAACTATGATGGTTGTCACAGGCCCGGCGGTCCTGGGGGGGCCCAGATTGCTTCGGCTGTCCAGGGCCCCACAATTACTCTCTGCACATATATATAGCGATGATCGCTATATATATATGTGCAGCCGCGGGCCCCCCGGCTCCCTGTATTTGCAGAGGTGGCCCAGGGGACTGCAGGAGCACTTTACAGCTCTTCCCTCTCTGTAACTCCCGCGAGACGTGCGGCCGTTAGAGCGTTGCCATGGGTTACCATGGCACCGCTCCGCGCAGCGCGCACACCACGTCTCACGGGAGTTAGAGAGAGGGAAGAGCTGTAAAGTGCTCCTGCAGTCTGCTGGGCCCCCTCTACAAATACAGGGAGCCGGGGGGCCCCACAATGCCACCGGACCACCAGGGATGGAATCTCCCCCCTCCCTGAACCAGGAAAGAAACAGGGAGGGGGGAATAACTTTCATTATATTACATACACACACACACACTGCATTCATTACATTAACACACACACACACACACTGCATTCACTACACTGACACACACTCGTGGGGGGCACAGACACACTAGGACCAGACCTTGTGCTTTGTCAGGGGCCCCAAAATGTCTGGTGGTGGCCCTGATCGAGGAACAGAGATGAAGGGATGGTTATTCAAATAAAAACAAACATATCAATCAATCAATCAAAAAGGAGGGATCAGAGGTCAGTCAGAAATCAGAGGGGAAATAGAAGAATGCATATAGGTGAATAAAACAATTACATACAGGACTAGCAAAACTGCACTTTAGCATAACAGACAAGATATAAAGGCAAGAAAATATACAATGCACACAGGATATATAAAATAAATGTACAGGGTGGTTAAATTAAATATAAATGATGCTGTGCAGGATAGTCTTAGTCTAGTCTTCCAGGAGGCTACCTTTGCATATTGCAGACGATCAGCTGATGAAGCTCAGACTTTCTTACAGCAGTATTGGGGCTTGATAGTTTGGAAATCAGGCTTTGCTTATTTCAGACGATCAGCCGTTCAGTCTATGTATCTGCATGTGTGTCAGTGATCGTATATGTGTGTCTATGTATCTGCATGTGTATTGTATATGTGTGTTTATGTGTCTGCAAGTGTGTCTGTGCAACTGTACCGGTAATACTCGAAAAATTAGAATATAGTGCAAAAGTTCATTTATTTCAGTAATGCAACATAAAAGGGGAAACTAATATATGAGATAGACGCATTACATGTAAAGCAAGATAGTTCAAGCCGTGATTTTTCATAAGTGCAATGATTATGGCTTACAGCTCATGAAAAACCCAAATCCACAATCTCCGTAAATTAGAATATTACATGCAATCAATAAACAAGGAGTGTACACAGAACAATATCGGACCTCTGAAAAGTATAAGCATGCATATGGACTCAGTACTTGGTTTGGGCGCCTTTCGCAGCAATTACTGCCTCAATGCGGCGTGGCATGGAAGCTATCAGCCTGTGGCACTGCTGGGGTGTTATGGAAGACCAGGATGCTTCAACAGCGGCCTTCAGCTCTTCTGCATTGTTCGGTCTTATGTCTCTCATCTTTCTCTTGGCAATGCCCCATAGATTCTCTATGGGGTTCAGGTCAGGCAAGTTTGCTGGTCAATCAAGCACAGTAATCCCACGGTCATTGAACCAGGCTTTGGTGCTTTTGGCAGTGTGGGAATGTGCCTAGTCCTGCTGGAAAATGAAGTCCGCATCCCCATAAAGCATGAAGTGCTCCAAAATCTCCTGGAAGACGGCTGCGTTGACCCTGGACTTAATGAAGCACAGTGGACTAACACCAGCAGATGACGTGCCTCGCCATTCTTCCTCCAGACTCTGGGTCCTTGGTTTTCAAATGAGATGCAAAAGTTGCTCTCATCAGAAAAGAGGACTTTGGAGCACTGAGCAACAGACCAGGTCTGTTTTTCGTTAGCCCAGGTAAGACGCTTCTGATGTTTGTTGTTCAGTAGCGGCTCGACAAGAGGAATATGACATATGAAGCCAATGTCCAGGATCCGTCTGTGTGTGGTGGCTCTTTATGCACTGACTCGAGCCTCAGTCCACTCCTTGTTAAAGTCCCCAACACATTTGAATGGCCTTTTCCTGACAATCCTCTCCAGGTTGCGGTCATCCCTGCTGCTTGTGCACCTTTTTCTTCCACACTTTTCCCTTCCAAATAACTTTCTATTAATGTGCATTGATACAGCACTTTGGAAACCTCCAACTTCCTTCGCAATTACCTTTTGAGGCTTTCCCTCCTAATGGAGGGTGTCAATGATGGTTTTCTGCACAACTGTCAGGTCAGCAGTCTTGACCCATGATTGTGATTTCTACTGAACCAGACTGAGAGACCATTTAAAGGCTCAGAAACCTGTGGGGATATTTATGGGATAATAATAGTAAACAGTGAGAATTGCCCACTAATTCAATTCTCAGACCCCAAAGATCGTTATCATGTTAAGTGGAATGTATTTCATATAAATAATATCACAATGTTATAAAAAAGATTTTATTTTATAATAACAAATTAATTAATAATAATAATAATATGTAACATGCGTGACAATAATCAATGAATATCCAGTATAAAATGATATGCAATACAATGGAATGGGTATACACGTTTCAATGGCTAAACAGCATTTTCTGTCAATACCTACACAGATTTATGAGGTATCCTTACAGACACAGAAAGCTTTTCACAGCGAAGGGCCATAAAACCTTGGCTAACAGTTAGAGTAACCCTTTCAATGCTGGCTAGATCTCCTAGGTAATTAAGATCTATTCTTATGTAATTTTAAATAAAATAACATTTAAACCAGTTCATTAGTCATTTCCTGGAACCATCCAATAAGAGAATCTACCATATTATATATGCAGATTTTTAATTTGCCTAAAAGATATCTTATCTTATATTAGAGCAAATCAATACACCTGGATAAAAACAGCGGTATGCTAACACGTGATACTATCACATTAATATATAATTATTCTTAATTCCACCTGCAGAATGGAGTGTTTATAACTATATATTCTTTAGTTAACTAAGATTTCTAAATATGGAAATCTGACCGTGCTTTATCCAGTCATATATCATGCTATAGTAAATTTAAATTAATTTAAATTAATTAAATGAAACCAGTATAATTACCAGTTGAGTAGATATTTCATCCGATTGGTAGATAGTCTCAGGAACTTATTTGGATGTCTGTAGGTGCATGAGTTATGGTGAAAGGTGGTGTTGGTTAGAAAGTCAGTATAATTCTAAGTGTTAGAGTTTTAAGAGTATAGTGTTAGTCTCAGATGTTGTCCTGGGTTTCTCTGCATGTCCGAGTTGGAGTCCCCGAACTTCCAATTCCTCTCTCCTCTTTTTCCTAACCCCCCTGTCTTCCCTTTGTCCTAACTTTTAAAGGGCCAGACTCTCTGTACGTCATCCGTTGATAACCCAAAAGAAGCACTAGAGGTGTGGTTATCTAGGGATCGCAATTTAGGTATTTGGTCCCACTAAACATAACTATCCAGGAAAGAGTTAACTTTTCCTGGTGGCTATTTTGACGTCATTTTGCGTTATCTTTATCTTTGCTATAACTTAGATTTGCTGTCACTTCAAACCGTTTCTTTAAGTTTTGTCCAGACTATGTGTCTGGCAAATTCTGAGTTTTGACCCGTAACTTACAATGGGACCTTGTACATATAGAAAGTAAAATTGTATTATTTAATCTCCTCTGTCACAAATGTCTGGGTTTAGAATGCATCTATTCCATTAGCTCTGGCAAAGTGGTTAGTTTTACAGATAGAAATCTTGTGTCTTTTGTTAACTTGGAAATAACAAAATGGAGTCTGCTCTGTTCAGAGTGACTCAGAATATACACTTTTAATTTCTATCATAGCACAAAATGTCTGCCGATATAAATACCCTGACAAACCCATATATAGAAATTATATGACCCATTGAAAAGTCTTGTTCTTTTTGCAAGCAGATGAGTTTACATTTTCTGCAAGTTTGCAGGCATTATATCAGTGACCAGTAGCATCAGAGAAATGAATTCCTCTACAGGCTTTAGCTAGAGTATAAATGAGGATGAGTGAGGCTTCATGGATTATATTTAATTCTGCAAAGACATGAAAATAAAAATATTTATACTCTATTTATGTTGTAAAGTGATTAAGTTGTTCCTGTGACATTCACAGACATCCTGGTGCAAGCAGAAAGACAGACCTCACTCGCCATTACAATTACTATCCAACATCAGAAGTTCCGACATTTCACAAGAGGGCATAAGAGCCATGATTTTACATTTACCAATAGTGTGCAACGTAATTAAAAGAAATATGAACAAAAATAGAAACCTGATGCCAAATAGTGTCCAGATAGCAATTTGGTTTGGGTATTGCATAACACATTAAAGGATCACTATAGTGTCAGAAAAACAAACCCGTTTTCCTGATACTATATCAGCCACTAGAGGCTCGATTAACCCTGCAATGTGAAGGGGTAAAACCTGTGGGACCTAGCATCCAGACCACTTCATTGAGCTGAAGTGGCCTGGGTGACTATAGTGTCCCTTTAAACTTCAGGATTCACCATCCAGAGTTCTAAAGTATTGCTCCATTCTTACAATGAGCTGCACAGGGTATACTAAACAACACATAAGGCAACGCTTCCTAAACCAATCCTCATGGCTCAGCAACAGTCCAGGTTTGTTCAGTATCTTCTTTGGAGTGGAAAAGAAAAATGCATAAAGTCTGTTTTTAGACCATGAGGACTGGTTTGAAAACCATTGCCCTAAGGCAACGTCACTGTCTGCGGTGCAGGAGACTGTAGTGGGAATCTTCTGTTTCCAGCTACTAACATGTGAGTGTGTGTGTCAGTGAGTGTGTTACTGTGTGTGTCTGTTACTGAGTGTGTTAGTTTGTGTGTGTCTGCTACTGAGTCTGTTTGGTGTCTGTTAGTGAGTGTGTGTTTGTCAGTGAGCGTGTATGTTTTGTAAGTGAGTGTGTATGTGTGTCTGTCAGTAAATGTGTGTCTGTTAGCTAGTGTGTATGTGTCTGTTCATGAGAGTGTATGTGTGTGGTTAAAACGCCTTCAGCACTTTTCTCCAGAACCGGGCTCCCTTGGCGCTGGGGATCTCTCCGCCCCGATCCGCCTCTCAGCTCCGAATGGAGCCACGCGCGCATTCAAACTGCCCATAGGAAAGCATTACTCAATGCTTTCCTATGAACGTCCAGCGTCTTCTCACTGTGATTTTCACAGTGAGAATCGCCGAAGTGCCTCTAGCGGCTGTCTGTCAGTGAGACAGCCACTAGAGGCTGGATTAACCCTCAGTGAAACATAGCAGTTTCTCTGATACTGCTATGTTTTCAGCTGCAGGGTTAACCCTAGATGGACCTGGCACCAAGACTACGTCATTGAGCTGAAGTGATCTGAGTGCCTATAGTGGTCCTTTAAGTGTATGTGTATCTGCATGCACTGGCGTACATACCGCGGTCGCAGCCCTGGGGGGGAGGGGTGGGGGTTCTGATACACACAGCTGCAGCTTGCGACAGCTGGGAGAACTCATAAATCTTGAAAGATGAAGCTTCTTTGGTTAAGCTTTGGCAACCTTTGGCTTTACCATTAGAAAACATAATCCCTATGTGGTGTTATATTTTTTGACAGCTTTGGAGCTTCAGTGAAATTCCAACACAGTAAAAGTGTATTTTATAAAGATTCCATCTCCATGAAATACTCAAAATATTTGATTAGCTGACAGAGTTGCTTTAATAATTTTGGGAGTTTTTTTTTTTTTTAAATCATCATCATTGGGGCGTGGTTTAGACACAGATGCACATGGCCACAGACCTCGAGATCCCTGCTGACTCACAGCCGAAACAGGCTTCTACGATTACTTTTGAGCCCAAATGGGGAAAAATAACAAGACCTCAGGCTCCGAAAAGACCAGGACATGACTTAGGGGACATCTACCCCACTATCTGGTGACTCTGCCAGACCTGCCATTGCAGGACTAAGAGGACTCCCACGTATCGGATTGTTCCTGCCAAAACTTTCAATCATCAGACTGGGGTTTGCTGCATCAGGTGCTCAAATGTCCAGTGCTACGGACAAGGCTACTGTAGCGGTACTTACTTTACCCGGGGGCCGGCCAAGGTCCTCACATCCCGCCACGCGCGGCTCTCGACTGAAGGCGGGCACGGACCGCGAGATGCGGTCACGTGTCCCGCCTAGCTCTAAGAGTGTGCCGCGCGTCTCGTGCACGCTCTTAAAGGGGCAGTGGGAGCCAAAAGATGAAATGTGCTCCCATTGGCCCCTGTCATCCCACGTTCCCCAGACACTCACATTTTGGGGGCGTGGATATGACAGAGGCCAATCAAAGTAAAGTTTAGGGTATTTATACTTACCTCTCCCTTACTCCCTGCCCTATCATGGTTTCTGTTTCAGTTCCCTTTAGCGCTTGTTGTGTTCAGTTGTGATTTTCGTGCTTGACCTTGGCTTTGTATCTGACTCCGTTTATCTCTCTATCCCTGTTTTGTCTTGTTTGCCGGCTTACTGACTACTGTGTACCAGACCTTGGCTAGTTTTTGTTCTCGCAGTCTCTTTGTTCCCTTGACCTCGGCTTGTTCTTGACTCTGTCTATTCTCTGCTATATGGCAGGTCCGGTAAGCCCTATCTGCTCTGTCGATTGTTGAACTAAATCTTGCGTGTAGGGGTAAACTACCGTGACAGCCAGGGCCGGACTGGGAAAAAAATTCAGCCCGGGCATTTTTTTATCACAGCGGCCCACTAAGAAGGGGGCGGGGCAGAGAGGGTGTGTTTTGTCATCACTCATGACATACACGCCCCCTCTCAAAGTGAGCATGTTGGTTCAATGCTCTTCCAGGGCAGACCATGCGCAGAGCTCTGCTGAAGAGCTCCAGCATGAGAAAAGCCCTGTATTTGTTCTGCACAGTGTAAGCAAATTTAATAACATGCTTGCACTGTGTTTCCTTGCAACTTGTCTCTGGTGTCTCTATAAATGGATACCAGGAGACAAAAGGGCCAGGAAAGAGTATTGTGCATGTGTTTGGAGCCTGTTTGTGGTATTACGTTTGTGCAGAGTGAGCTGGTCATGGTGTGGTATTGTGTAATAAGGTCTGTTTTAGTCGTGTTGTGTTTGTGGTGTAATGTAATGCATACGTGGCTAGGGGCTGTAGAGAATGTGTGTATAGGGGATGTAGCAAGTGTGTGCATACAGGCTATAGTGTGTGTGTGTATAGGTGATTTAGTGTTTGTAGAGAGTGTGTGTTCAGGGAATGTAGTATGTGTTTGCTTACAAGGAATCTAGTGTGCATATAGGGGATCCAGAGTGTGTGTGTATATGATCCAGAGTTGGCTAAAGGATCTAGTGTGTGTCTGGAATGTAATGTGTTTAGGGGTGCAGTGTGTGTGTGAGGGGTGTTGTGTGTATGTGTATATATATATATATATATATATAGTTTATATAAATATGTTTGGAAGTATTGTGTATGTGTGTGATGCAGTGTATTGGGGGGTTGTGTGTATGTGAGGGGTTCAGTATGTGTGTGAGGGTGCTGTGTGTGTGAGGGTGCTGTGTATGATGAGTGTGAGAGTGTTGTGTGTGTGATGTGTGTGAGTGCTGAGTGTGATAGTGCTGTGTATGATGTGTGATGTGTGTGAGAGTGATGTGTGAGAGTGCTGTGTGTGAGTGTTGTGTGTTATGTGTGTGAGTGCTGAGTGTGATAGTGCTGTGTATGAGTGTTGAGTGTGATAGTGCTGTGTATGATGTGTGTGAGTGCTGAGTGTGATGTGTGTGAGAGTGATGTGCCTGAGTGCTGTGTGTGAGAGTGTTGTGTGATGTGTGTGAGAGTGCTGAGTGTGAGAGTGCTGAGTGTGAGAGTGCTGAGTGTGAAAGTGCTGTGTGTGAAAGTGCTATGATGTGTGTGAGAGTGCTGCAATGTGTGAGATTGCTGTGTATGATGTGTGTGAGAGTGCTATGATGTGTGTGAGAGTGCTATGATGTGTGTGAGAGTGATGTGTGAGAGTGCTGTGTGTGAGTGTTGTGTGTTATGTGTGTGAGTGCTGAGTGTGATAGTGCTGTGTATGATGTGTGTGAGAGTGCTGCTGAGTGTGATGTGTGTGAGAGTGATGTGCCTGAGTGCTGTGTGTGAGAGTGTTGTGTGATGTGTGTGAGAGTGCTGAGTGTGAAAGTGCTGTGTGTGAAAGTGCTATGATGTGTGTGTGAGAGTGCTGCGATGTGTGAGATTGCTGTGTATGATGTGTGTGAGAGTGCTGTGTGTGAGAGTGCTATGATGTGTGTGAGAGTGCTATGATGTGTGTGAGAGTGCTGCGATGTGTGAGATTGCTGTGTATGATGTGTGTGAGAGTGCTGCGATGTGTGAG